TTGAGATGGAGTTTCGCTCTTGTTACCCAGGCTGGAGTGCAATGGCGTGATCTCGGCTCACCGCAACCTCCGCCTCCCGGGTTCAGGCAATTCTCCTGTCCCAGCCTACTGAGTCGCTGGGATTACAGGCACGCGCCACCATGCCCAGCTAATTTTTTGTATTTTTAGTAGAGACGGGGTTTCACCATGTTGACCAGGATGGTCTCAATCTCTTGACCTCGTGATCCACCCGCCTCGGCCTCCCACAGTGCTGGGATTACAGGCTTGAGCCACCGCGCCCGGCCAAAAATACAGTTTTTAAGGCCCCAACCCTATACCTCCTGAATCGGAATCTTTGCTAATAAGGTCTGGGAATCCGCATCTTTCAAAGTCTCCCTGGGATGCTCAACAAGCCCAGGAAAATGACATATGAACAAAATGAGAATATCAAAAAAGATATAGAAAATATGCAAAAGAACCAAACAAATTTTGGAGTTGAAGAATTCAATAACTGAACTGAAAAAATTCACTAGAGGAGTTCAACAGGAAAAAATCAGTGAGCTTGAAGATGCATCATTTGAAATTATCCAGTCAAAGGAGCAAAAAGAAAGAGAGAATGAGAGACAGTAAAGAAAGCCTAAGAGACTTACATGATATCATCAAGCTGACCAATATATGCATTATGGGAGTCACCATCAAGCAGACCAGTATATGCATTATGGGAGTTTAAAAGAAGACTGGGAAAAACGGATAGAAAGCTTTTAAAAAATAATGGCCAAAAGCTTCTCAAATCGGGGGAGGGAAATATCTATCCAGATTCAAGAAGTCTAATGGACTCCAGCTAAGATGTACCCAAAAAAGTCCATATCAAGACACATTATAATCAAATTGTCAAAAGCCAAAGACAGAATTTTGAAAGAAGAAAGAGAAAAGAGTCTCATCATGTATAAGGGAGCTTCCATAATACTACCAGTGGATTTCTGAGTAGATATCTTATAGTACAGGAAAAAGTATGATATATTCAAAGGGCTGAAAGAAAAAAAACCTGCTAATCAAGAACACTATATTTGGAAAAACTGCCCTTCGAAAATAAAAGAAACTAAAGATTTTGCTAGATAAACAAAAGCTGAGGAAGTTCATCACCACTAGACCTACCTTACAAGATAACCTAAAGAAGCCGGGCTTGGTGGTTCACACCTGTAATCCCAGTACTTTGGGAGACCAAGGTGGATGGATCACAAAGTCAAGAGATCGAGACCATTCTGGCCAACATGGTGAAACCCAGTCTCTACTAAAAATACAAAAATTAGCTGGGTGTGGTGGCATGCACCTGTGGTCCCAGCTACTTGGGAGGCTGAGGCAGAAGAATCACTTAAACCCAGGAGGTGGAGGTTACAGTGAGCCGAGATTGCGCCACTATACTCCAGCCTGGCAACAGAGCAAGACTTTGTCTCAAACAAAAAAAAAAAAAAAAACAAAAAAAAAAAAAAAAAAGATATACTAAAGGAAATCCTTCTCTTTGAAACAAAAGGACACTAGACAGCATATGAAAGTATAAAGCCCAATAGTAAAGATAAAGATATTGGCAAATACAGAATACTGTAATGATGGTATGTAAATCACTTTTAATTCTGGTATAGAAGTTAAAAGGCGAAAGTATAAAAAGTAACTATAACTATAAAAATATATTAATGGATACATAATATAAAAAGATGTAATTTGTGACAACAATAACAATGTTGGGGGGGAGTGTTTTTGCTTATGATTGAAGTTAATTTATCAGCTTAAAATAGGTGGTTAAAATTATAAGATGTTTGATGTTAGCCCACAGTTACCACAAAGCAAATACCTGTGGAAGTTGCACAAAAGAAAATGTGAAAAGAATTGAAGTATGTTGTCACTAGGAGGGGGAGTCAAACACAAGGAAGACAGCAAAAGAGGAAAAGAGAGACAAAAAGCCATGAGACGGAAACAGTTTACAAACTGCAACAGTCTCTCTCTATCAGTAATTACTTTAAATGTAAATGGATTAAATGTTCCAATCAAAAGATATAGAGTGGCCGAATGGATTAACAAAATAAACAAGATCTTACTATTTGCTTTCTACAAGAGACTAATTTTAGAAATTAAGGACACACATAGGCTGAAGGTGAAAGGATGCAAAAATATATTCCATGCAAAGGTAACCAAGAGAGGGCAGGGGTGGTCAGACTTACATCAGACAAAATAGACTTTCAGTTGAGAACTGTCACAAGTGACAAAGACATCATATAATGATAAAAGGGTCAATTCACATGGAAGATAGAACACTTATAAATATATGTGTTCTTTTATAACCCAACATCAGAGCACCCAAATATATGAAGCAATCATTGACAAAACCAAAGGAAGACCAGACAACAACACAATAATAGTTGGAGATTTCAATACCCTACTGTCAAAATGGATAGAATTTCCAGGCAGAAAATCAGTAAAGAAACAGACAACTTGAACAACATTATAGACCAAATGGACCTTATAGACATATATGCAGAACATTCCACCCATCAGCAACAGAATACACATTCTTCTCAACTGCACATGGAACCGTCTTTAGAACAGATCACATGTTATGTTATAAAACAAACCTCAGTAAATTTAAGAAGATTGAAATCACAACAGATCTTTTCCAACTGTATGGAATGAAACTAGAAATAAATAGCCAAAGGAAAATTAGAAAATTCACAAATATGTGGAAATCAAACAACACATTCTTGAACAACCAAGGGTTAAAGAATAAGTCAGACCTGGTGCAGTGTCTCACGCCTATAATCCCAAACTAAAGCAGGAATCGCTTGAACCTGGGAGTTTGAGTCTGTAGTAAGCTAATAAGGTGCCACTGCACTCCAGCCTGGGCAACAGAATGAGACTTTGTCTCTAAAAAAAATTTTTTTTAATAATAAATCAAAAAGAAAACTAGAACATATCTTGAGACAAATGAAAATGAAAACACAACATACCAAAACTTACTAGATGCAACAAAAGCAGTTCTAACATGAAAGTTTATAACAGTAATATCTATATTCAAAAAGAAAATCTGTCAAATAAGTTACCTAACTTTACACCTCAAGGAACTAGAACTAATACTTGTTTACTGAAAATTGTAAAACATTGCTGAAAGAAGTTACAAACACAAACCATGTTCATATGTTGGAAGAACAAATGTTATTAAAATGCCCATACTAACCAAAATGATCTACAAATTCTGTGCAATCCCTATCAAAATCCCGATTGTATGTTTTTGGCAGACATAGGGTGGAAGAATTCTAAAATTCATATGGAATCACAAAGGACCCCAAATAGCCAAATATAATCTTGAGAAAGAACAACAAAGCTAGAGGTCTCCCAGTTCCTGATTTCAAAATACACTACAAACTTAAAGTAATTAAAACAGTATAGTACTGGCATAAAGCTAA